CGCTGGTTTTCCTGATATGAGCTGGGCTGTTCTCATTGTAGGAGGAGCTCGGGTCCTCACTGTCGCTGAGGATGGCTGCAGTTCTCTTTGGGGGAGCTCTGATCCTTACTTTGAGCATCACTTCCTGTCCCCAGTGCAGACCCCTCAGCCTGCCGGCACAGACCCTTCGTCCTGCTGCTGGTGCAGACTTTCTAGCTTCCACCACTGAGCTTTGGGCCTTCCCAGCGCAGATCCTTGGCACAGACTTGCATGAGGCATTGCTGTGTGCTCTAGGCCTCCCGCTGGACTCGTGGAGGACATTGCCGTGGGATCCAGGCCCTCAGCTGGATTCTTTGGGTCTCTAGTTCGTGGACAGATCTCCCGTACTTTTTGCATTAGACTCTTTGGGTGAGTATTATACAATAATCCTATAAATTATGTGTACTGTATTAAATCTTTTCCTTCCAAACCCTGACTACAACAGAGACAAAGTATGAATTTCTTTGAAAACATAAGATCTCTGAAAATGAGAACCTGTTCGTTACGTTCTATAAACTACACAAATTGGTTTTCTGCCTAAGAAATGTCTCCATAAAGTGTTGTGTGCTTTTTTAAACCAAATTGACACACTTTTTTTTATTTTTTTATTTTTTTATTTTTGAGACAAGGTCTTGCTATGCAGTTCAGGCTGGTCTTGAGCTCCCTTTGTAGCCCAGGCTGGTCTTGAACTCACAACGATCCTCCTGCCTCAGCCTCCCAAGGGCTGGGATTACAGGCATGAGCCACCACACCCAGGTCTAAATTGACACACTTCTGCAAAAATCCTTTTGATTTTCAACCAACTCTCCAAATATTTTCTTATGTTTGTCAGTCTCCATCTGATCTGATGCTCCCACCTCAGATGGTACAAAAGTGAGAAGGGATGTTAGAAGTTTCAAAGACACTACTGCCAAACAGGAGCTGGGAAACAGCTAAATGTGACACTGGATCAACAGCATTAAAATGAGAAGTGGGCTGTAAGACCTCAGCAATGTGTCAGGGTCCAGCCCCGCCAGCAAGAGCAGGCACACCGCAATCCCATGTGCATCTCCAGCTGCTGGGCCTGCGCGGACCCTTGTCCCCAACCTGCCATTCAGAGATCATGTCCCTTCTGTAGAGCAGAGGACACCAGCTGCCTGCTGGTCACTCTCAGACACAAACTATTCTGTCTGTGAACTACCATTACCTCTATAGATTCTCAAGGGCTGCCAAGAGGTTAGGTGTTTACATTTTTTAAAACTGGACAGAAAACCAATATTAACAATGATTACATCTGAGTGGGATCACAAGGACTATGTTTCTTCTACACATTTTTAATATTTTCTTTTTTTTTTTTTTTCTTTTTTGAAGCAGGGTCTTGCTGTGCAGTTCAGGCTGGCCTTGAGCTCACTTTGTAGCCCAGGCTGGTCTCAAACTCACAACAATCCTCCTGCCTCAGCCTACCGAGTGCTAGGATTACAGGCGTGCACCACCATGCCCGGCATTATTTTCTAAAATAGATATACAGCACACGTCTGTAATCCCAGCACTCGGGAGGCTGAGGCAGGAGAGAAAGAAAAACCTAGCAGATCAATGGAGTAGAGTTCTGTGTAAGTCTGGATCTTCCCACCGCTGATTCTGTAGATAGCCACTGGGTGGTCTCCCAGCTCTGACCTGTTGCCTAGTAAATCTCCTTGCATAATTACGCATATATTTCCTCTTGATTCTGCTCCTCGAAAGAACCTAAAACACTCAGTAATAACACTGAGCAATTATAAGAGTACACTGTAATAAAAGCTGTGACTAAGCTACCTCAAAATATCTCACTGTCATTTAACAGAACGCAGCACTGAGAATGACCACAGGAAACCAAAACTGGAAAGCAGAACCTTGGAGAATTGGGGACTGCTTTAAGCCTACTTTAAAATGAAAAAAGTTGGGTGTGGTGGCACACGCCTGTAATCCCAGCGCTCAGTAGGCTGAGGCAGGAGGATTGCTGCAGAGTTCGAGGCCAGCCTGGGATACATAGTGAGTTCAAGGCCAGCCCATACTACACATCGAGAACCTGTCTCAAAAAGATTAAAAAAAAAAAAA